CTTTAGGATTTCACCCATTTTCTCAGATTTATATTCATCTTGTTGGGTTCAGTGGCCTTTATTTTTAAGTCACTGTTTATATTTTATCATGATCCTCTACTTTGAAAGCTAAAACCAATTTTCATGACTGAAGCATTTGAGTCAACGAAGAACTACCTCCTTTCACCCTTACAGGCTGTGAGAGTCAGTAAAGTAATTTGAAATAAAAAGGGTACTGTCATTGAGCAAAGTCAGACCCTTCTGAGAAACTGCCCACCTACCCCTCCCCTATGCCAACATTATCACTAAACTTGTCACTTCTCACCTTGCCCTCTTACTGAAGCACCCATGTAATAAATTACGTTCAGGTAGAATTTAAAATTTGAATCGTGTTTGGCCCTGGTGGCCGGCAATATGTAGAACTATAAATAAAATTATTTAAATTGAATATAGTATGTCCGTTATTTTCTTGCGAAACCCTCTCGAAACTGGGTTTTCATAGCGCCACTGACGGGGCGGGGATTAGTAACTGGATGGGTGACGGCTAGCCGCTGTAATCACGTAGCGAAGATCCCGTACGCTTGGCAAGCTCAACTTGGGTTCAACGACCGAAGTACGGAGCTGAGTCTGATCCACTGGGCCGGCGGGGAAAGTGCCAGGTTAATTGTCCGTAACTTGAATTCCAAGGTAGATTTAAGGGTAAGAAGCAAGATTTTGACGCTAAAAAGGCCGAAATGAAATGCACTTCCCACACACATCCCCGTCAGGGGCAAAATAGTCTACTAAGTAAGACGCACTCACAAATGTTCTTTGATCTAGATTTTCGCTCTTATTTTGAAAAAACTAAATTTATCGCCAAAGCGGCACGCCGCAAGACACGGATCAAGTTTGTCGCTTGATGACTCATTTCATTGAGGACACCAACTGTAGAGAATATAGCCAACTCGTGTTTCTGCCTCGTTGTGCATATCCACGTACATTCCGCCCGCGATGCGAATAAACCTCGACTACGCGAGGGCCTTCGGCCAGGGCATCGTGAGGAATATCTTGCAAACCAGTGAAAGGAAATTGAGACGTAACATTCAAAAGCGAAAATCACAAAGACATGCATCATAATTGGCAAAAAATTCCCAATAAATTCGTATTTTTTAACGGGTCGTGATGCAACGTGATTTCATACGTAGCCCGTTTTTTGGCGGTGAAGGGCTGCGTGACGAGTCAAAAGGGGACTGCGTGCAATAGTAGACTGGGCTATGTTACAAATGGTCTGTTTGAATTTTGTCGATGTGTAAATAAGTTTGATTTTAAGAATGATTTCTTTACAAAAAGAGTGCTTCAATTATCGTGTGAGCCACTGTTAAAACCTTGATGCATTCATTTCTCGGAATAACAAGCCAGGTGCTCTTGGAATTCCCGGAAAAATACTCAGGCCCTGAGGATTATATCTCTGTCTTCCAGTCAAGTGTGGAAAGTGAAGACCGTAATCAGCACAGCCAATAGCCGACCCACACGCCAAGCCAATATTAAACTTCCTTGTTTGAATCACGGGCGCTGATTTATCGAAGCTTACAAGCTGTCATCCAGAATTTTTTGTCTAATTTGCAAGTCAATGTGATCGTGGAAAGTGAAGACAGCGAAAATTCCTCAGCCTCCGGAAACAAAATGGAAACCCAACAGATTTTTTCCTCTAAAAGTAGAATAGATCGGTCAAGGATGCGTACAAGAGTCGGAATCTCTCCTCCTGTACCCTTCAAATATGGTTACTCCTTCACCAGACAAAAACGAACCATTATATATGGCAGACAAAATTGAACAAGTGTAAAATATGAGGAGCACACATAACCTTGAAGATAAAAGTGGCCACAGTTTCGTCCATTTAAGGTTCCTAATTAAGTTTGCTTAGACCTCTGGTTAAATTCATCTTCAAAAATTGGGGGCTATCCACAGGGATAGTCCAGTAGTCCATGGACCGGGTCCACCCAGGGGTCCGGGGTCCGTTGACCGAGGGTCCATGCCTGGGTGTTGTACATGTTGTTGGTAACGTGCCCAGGCTGGTTAGAAACCCCATTAAGAGAACCTTCTTTCAATTGGGCGCCACCAAACAATGAGTGACCATTCATGCATTTAATAGTTTCCCGGAAACACATCTCAGGCGGCTCGGAAATTCCCGGAAAAATTTAGAGCCGAAAAAGTGCTTAGTGAAGCAATTTAAATTAACAAGCTACTCAGGCACTGAGAGTTTTATTCCGTCTTCAAGTCAACAAAAAAACTATTGTGTGTGTGTGTGTGTGTTTGTGTGTGTGTCCGCTGTGGAAGGTGTTGCACATATAAAGGGATCCCCTGATACATTGGCCTTTCGCCGTCGAAAATCTGATCGCCGCACTTCCTTCTTTGATTGAAGTTGAAAGGGACTTGTCGACGACCTACAGACGTTACAGATTTTTTGATTCCCTCGGGCAAGTTAGGGAAATTGGTGACAATGGAAAGCGAGGACAGCGCTTCGAGTTCCTCAGTCTCCGGAACTGAAACAGAAACCCAGCCGAAAGATAATGATGTCGAGGCGGGATTCACAGCTCGTCCTTACCAAGTGGAATTACTAGAAAGGGCTCTGGAAAGAAACACAATCGTTTGTCTCGGAACGGGAACTGGAAAAACATTCATCAGTGTAATGCTAATAAAGGAACTCTCTCACCAGATCAGAGAAATCTACCACAACGGTGGAAAAAGAAGTTTCTTCCTTGTTAATACAGGTTAGAAAGTATTTGTTTACGTTTTGTGTCAAATGGAGGGGGTGGAGGTGAGGTTTGTACGGGCTGTATGTGTAGCGTACCGGTGTCGTTTTCAATTTGCGATATTCTCTTAAATTTGATCTTAAAGTGATTCGCTGGTTTGCACTGCGCATCTCTTACAGCACAAAACAAGATGGCCGCCGTGAAAAAGAGCATCTGACGTAACATTACTAAAATGAAGTTAACTGAAGAGAAATGGTATTGGAATTTTCGCTTCCGGTTGTTTCTTGTCGAGACAGAAACTCAATGTGTTGGAAATGTGCATAACGTAAGCAGTACGCGTGTTGCTGAGTTCGACTCCCTCACGGAGAAGCTCACTACACTTTGATTTTAAGCGCCATCTTTATTACATTATGTCCTAACTGTGATATCTCGATGTAAACCCGGTAAAAGGGGATTTTCTAATGCTTTCTTCCCCATTCCACATACATGCCACTTTGAAACTCGTTCCAGTCCTCTCTCAAAAATAGGAGGTAATACATTTGGTGCGCACTTTCTGCAGCTCTACCGCAAAAACGAGTACGGTGATCCCCTTTTTTCATTTCACGATCTCTCAATGAAAAAAATTGGCATAAATCTGTCTTCAGTTTTTTTCAGCAATTTTACTAAATTGTACGGATCGAGCTATAACGGGTCGAATAGCGCGTGTGCCAAATAAGTTTACTTTGAGGTGTAAAGTACAACCAAGGGCATTAAAAGGCGTTTTGTGGTACCTAAGTCGATAAACAATACATTTAAGTCAAATTCTGTACGAAACCACATGCATTATCAAAAAAATCTCTCCTTTTTGTCTAGTTTTGGGCTGCGCGCGGTTTTTGCCAAAGGGTCTATAAATAGCCGTATTTGTCAGCATTGTGACGTGAAAACGAGCTGAGTGATCCCCACCTTCTTTTACATTTTTATAATCTTCTTGACTTGTTACATCAGTGTACCAAGTTTCATCTACAATCTATGTTAGGTTCTTTTACTAGGGAATCACCCTTAATTCCACTGTAATTTGAATTAAAATCTTTTGGCTTTTAAAATCAGTACAGTATGTGGACCTTGGTCCGCACGAAAAAAGGACGTAAATGAGTATTTCTTATCTTAGAAGAGGAGTAGTGAGCTGAAATTTGTCCTGTAAGTTGCCGAAACATTTAACTAACTTATGACAAACCGACAGCTTCTGAGCTTTGCCGAAAACCCTGCATCATAGAAAATGACCGCTCCGTTTGAAGGTCCCTGGTCCGGCCAGTGGTTCCTCGGTCCGGCCACTTTGGCCACTTGTAAGTAGGCCTTTCCAGATTCTGCTACTTTTAGGATTTTGAGCAACTTTTTGTCAGAGAGCAACTTCCAGCAACTTTTCGGGCAACTAGCACTTTTTTGGTAACTTTTGGGCTATTTTGAACCAAAATGCTGAATAACCCCCTTTTTTTAATAAGTAAATTAAAATTCTCATCTTGGTTAAAATTCCAAACATCTTTCTAGTAAAACTCATATTTTTACCCTTGGAATGGGTATCGTGTAGACGTAGCCTCAACCTCGTTCACAGGGCTTTTCCCTTCTCGTGGGGGGCGCCCCCCACGAGAAGGGAAAAGCCCTGTGAACGAGGTTGGGGTAGCCTGTGGACTGTGTAAACAAAATGGCGGACGCCAGATTGTTACACTTACTGTCTAACTTTTTGTAACTAGCCACTTAGATTCAACTAAAGGTTGCCTAATTTGTTGTAACTATATAGTTACTTAGTTGTACCTTAATGTTGATTACAAAGCAATTGTTATTGAAATTAGACATGCTATCTTAAAAATATTCGAGCAACTTTACAAAATTCTTGAGCAACTTTTTCAATTTTGAGCAACTTTTTGGCTTATTTCTTAGCAACTTTTTACCTTTTTCGGAGCAGAATCTGGAAAGGCCTACTTGTAAGCCGGCATGCAAACTGTGCGCAAAAAGAACCGTTCCAAGCACCAACTGATCTAAATTCCTGTATATTTTCTATAGGCATCATTTTAACTCCGAAACCAAATGAGGGTGAGGACAAAACATGGACCAGGGGTCCATGGACCCCCACTTTGGATGGGGTCCATGGACCACTTTCATGGACTGGGTCCATGGACAGTTTTTTTAATAATGAGAAATGAACAAAAACAGAAATAGTGCAAAAATAAGGTTAAAAAACAACAACAACAACAAACAATGCGCGATTGATCAGTAATGTTTAATTGTGCTTACATAGTGTAAAAAAGGGGGGGTGGGTACCTCATGCCAAAATGCTGCTTGTCCCAATGAATTGTTTTCTCTGATGGGTAGATTATGCTTCGGAGGAAAACCTTTTGACTGAGCAAATGTGAATTTTTGCAGCTTATTTCATACCGAGAGGTCGTGACACACATATTGATTTTCTACCTCTTTTAAAATGTACAGCTGTTTATTGCGGCTGATCAAAAGGGTTTTAGGTTGTTTAATTTCTCCAAAGTGCATCCTGGATCTGAATAATTCTAAGCCACTTTCTTTTTGTCCATGAATGCCACTTTTTCCTGCAATGTTTTGTCACGCTGGGCCCAGCTCCTTAGCGCTTTTAGCAGGACGATTATAAATTCTCACGGATAGTGATTTACAGATCCAGATCTTGAAGAAGAAGAAGTGGCAGGGATTGTAGCTTAAACTGAAGCTACATCAACTATGGAGAATTGCGATGTGACTCAGTCATGATTGCTCTAAAAGCAATGAATTCTTAACTCCAGCTTGTTTTTCTAAGCGTGATGCGAATCTTTGTACTGGAGCGCGTAATTCCTCTCTTGGTGATAACTTTTGAATCAGCTTAATTTAACAGTCTTGTGACTGCACACGTGCAAGCAGAGTGTATGTCATGTAAGCACAACTAAATATTTGTGATCAATCGTGAGCATTGGTCGACAGCGTCTCGTCAAATCTTTTTTTGGCACTATTTCTGTTTTTGAGTGTCCATGGATTTGGTGCAAAACCTTCTTATAAAAATAAAAAAAAACTGTCCATGGACCTGGTCCATGACAGGGGGTCAATGGACCCGGTCCAAAGAGGGGGTCCATGGACCCCTGGTCCATGTTTTGTCCTCACCCACCAAATGAGATTTCTGTGTAAAGAGCTATAGTTTGGTCTCATGTGCATGAAGAATTAATAGTTTCGCTTCTGTGCGAAAGTGTGTCGTGCAGTTACGATGCGACGGCAGCGAAATCGCCACATTTTAAATGAATTCAGTCAAAGTTTAGAGGGAGAGAAAAATTTAATTTGTCGTCGCTTGTCAAAAAAAAAAATTCCGTCAGGAAATTTCACGCAGCAACAGCAAAGAAATCCGACCGAAAAGCGTGCGTCATCATCGACGTGCAGTCCGTGCGGAGTAATTTTTTGCTGGTTTAACCCTAAGCCCTAGCCTGAGAAAACAGTCGACATTTGGCGACGCTACACGTTTCCCCGCCAAATGACGTCTGAAATACAAACGCAGAAATTCCATACTGATGACGCGTCACTACCCAGATCTGGGTGGCGCTTTTGATTGGTCGTCCGCGTGGGAAATTTTGATTCAACCATGTGATTCAAAGTCGAAAGATCCTCACTTCAATTTATAAATCTTAATTTACTAAGAACTAAACGAAACGAAAACTAAACTTTCTGAGGCCCTGCCTTTTCAATCACTATTTGGCTAGGGCCAAGTACGCAAAATTTACTTAATAATATTATCTAAAACTTTGGTTTCAAAATTCAACCTGTCGACCGAATTTTTTTGCACTTCGAAAGAACATGTCTTGTAAACCATGTACACAAAAAATTAGCTTTCTTAACGCACTTAATCGCATATGCAGGAATTAAAAATATATCCAAATAATTAAAGGCACCATAAAAAGACAAAACTTATAGAACAAAATTCATCTACGTTCGCGTTAACTTGATTTCCAGCCTTTCCTAACATCAGGACAACCTCTAATCGAGCTTAAGAAGGCAAACAGATCATTAAAAACTCGGAAAGTTTATTTTACCTTATTTTCTTCCCGCTTCATCACAAAGTAAAACCCGCCGGACCAAGGACCACCAGTGCATACGTACTGTAGTGTACATTCTCGAACACACTAAGATTTACACCACAAGGGTCCGTGCACACTTCGGCCAATCTAATTTTCCATTTTTCCAACAAAAACGGAAAAAGGAAATATTACTTATCCTTATCATATTTACATATTTTAAAGTACGGACTAAAATAGAAAAAAAGAAAATGGTCAGGAAAATTGATCATTTTTTCATTTTTCTAATTTTGAAGTCCACTTCAAAAATACAAAAAATACTATAAACGGCTAAAAGCGATATTTTGCTATTTTTATTTTCTTGATATTGTTAGAAAAGTGAGAAAAATAAAATAATCTCCGAGTCCTAGATCATTTTTCGATTTTTCCGTTTTTCCTAAAAAATCGAAAAACAGAAAAATGAAAAAATGATATTTATTTGAACCATTTTTTCATTTTTTCTATTTTGTTCAAAAAATGAAAAAATAGAAAAATGGCACACCTATCGCCTAATTTCCATAATTCCATTTTAACAAGAAAAATGAAAAAAATGACAAGGGTTGCGAATAATTTTTCCATTTTTTCAATAAATAGAAAACAAACAAACAAACAAAACCGGACAATTTTTCATCTTTTGTTTTAATGAAAAATAGCAAAAAAAAAAAAAAGATAAATCATGAACATTTACCAAAAAAGAAAAGAAAAACCTAATCCACTTTAGACTCACTAGTTTTGTTAGCCGATTTACACAGGGTCGATGGAGACGTGGGATGGGGAGGGCGGGTGGGGGCCCTTTAGTTCTCGGAATGCGAACGTAGTTTCATTGACTTTTGGATTTGATTAGCTGATTCCTTTACCTCATTACTTAGGACTCACTCTGTGACCTGTTCTAACACTGTGTCACCATAAAGTGTTCCTGTTGCATTTAAACTGTGGAACGTTAGCCCATACTTGCTCTTTGCTCTCCTCTTTCAAGGGCTGAGTTGCTTAAAAGGTGGATAACGCTATCCGCTCATATTCCGCTGGATAAATAACTATCCAGTGGATAATGCAATTGGTTTCCCTAAAATACATGAAAAATTATCGGGCCGCTGGATAGTAATTTATCCGGTGGATCGTCGCTATCAAACGTTTAAACAAATGTATGAGCAAATGTATGGACCAGAGCATTAAGATGTTCTTTCCAGCGAGTGTATACTAGGCGCCTCGTTATTTTTCTCCTCCATAATAATAATTCAATATACTTTACACCCGTTCTGCGGCAAGATCTGTTATTTTGGAAGGCTAAGCAGTCTACTTTTGAGCAACTATTTCATTTAAAAGCGTCTGACCTCTTCACTGGCGTGCTTTTTATTTATTTTGTGCATGTGACTGTCCAACGACCTTCTTGTTTTCCCCTTAATCTCTCTCACGAACCGCTTTTTTTGTGCTGGGACCATAGTGTTGCTGGCATGAACACCGTTGAGTTACCCCCCTTTAACCGTACCAATTTTCACGCCTCCTCCTCCTCCCTCGTACCCTTTCTAATATTCTTCATTTCCACGACCGGTACGGTACGGTTTTCCCGTCCACAGTCGACTCCCGACAACTCAAACCTTCAGGGAAATCGAGATCAAAAGTGAATGGAGCTACGTCCGCATCTCGAAAACTAAGCCGCCCCCCTCCCCAAATTCCCCCACATCTCCGCCGACCCTGTGCAAATCTTCTAACCAAATTAGTGAGTCGATACTGGATACGAATTAGGTTTTTCCTTTCTTCACCGTTAAAATATTCATAACGTCTCACTTTTCTGCGCCATTTTTCACTAAAATAAAAAATGAAAAACTGTCTGAAAGGGTGTATCGTTAAAGTTAAATTTATCCAAAAAAAAGAGGAAAAATAGAAAATTGCTCGCAACACTTGTCATATTTTCATTTTTCTTGTTAAAATGGAATTATGGAAAATTAGGCGATAGGTGTGCTATTTTAGTATTTTTTCATTTTTTGAACAAAATGGAAAAAATGAAAAAATGGTGCGAATAAATATGATTTTTTCATTTTTCCGTTTTTCTATTTTTTGCGAAAAACGGAAAAATAGAAAAATGAGTTAAGAATCGGACATTATTTCATTTTTCTCATTCTCTAACAGTAGCAAGAAAATAGAGAATAGCAAAATATCGCTTTTAGCCGTTTACAGTATTTTTGGAATTTTTGAAGCGGACTTCAAAATTAGAAAAATGAAAAAATGATCAATTTTCCTGACCATTTTCTTTTTTTCTATTTTTTTCTGTACTTTAAAATATGTAAATATGATAAGGATAAGTGATATTTCCTTTTTCTGTTTTTGTTGGAAAAATGAAAAATTAGATTGGCCGGAGTGTGCACGGACCCACAAGTCACCTAGCATTCACTTATTAATAAATATGTGGCCCCTGCGGCAAAGTGAGAACTAGCTTTTGCCTTTAATATTCCCTAAGTTTCTATAAATTTCGTAGGCATTTATAATCATAGCATTTTGTAGTGTAAACAACCAAAACTGATCAAACTTATATTCATCAGCTCTTTCCTTTGAAGCTGTCGACAACCATAATTCATGATAACTGCAAATTATGTTATTTAAGGAACTATACAAAAAACCTTAGATTAACAATTTGTTACAGTGGGGTCTTTTGACTATATTTTATTTTCTCTCAGTTCCTTTAGCCATCCAGCAAGCCAGAGTGATTAAGAAACACACAGATTTGAAGGTGAAGCATTATGTTGGCGAGATGGGAGTCGACTTCTGGGACAAAGACAAGTGGGAAAATGAGTTCAATGAAAACAATGTTTTGGTGATGACTGCCCAGATTTTTCTCAATCTTCTACTCCATGGTTTCATCAAACTTTCACAAGTAAATCTTCTGATATTTGATGAATGCCATCATGCCAAGAAGAGTCATCCATACAAACAAATCATGAACCGTTTTGTTGGTTGCCAAGAAACTGACTATCCAAAGATCATGGGTCTAACAGCATCTGTAGTTAATAAAAAGGTGAAACCAGGGAAAATTGAATCTGAAATCCAAGAACTGGAATGCACACTGAGGTCAACATGCGAGACAAGTCAAGATGAAGATGTTGGGAAGTTTGCTTCAAAACCAAATGAACAGATCATTCAGTTTTCAAATGCTAACTTTGACGACAGCACAATCATCTTACTACAAAAACTTCAAGAAGTTTTAAGACCAGGAATGAACTACCTTCGTGACTATGAAGTCCAAGGTGATGGTCCATCGTGGGATGCTCAATCGTTTGCCTTGTCGGCACTGACTGAGTGTCAAGAGATTTTATCAGAAATGGGTCCCTGGGCTGCCAACAAAATTGCAGGATACTTAATCAAGGACCTACAAGGTAAAGTGACAGATCCACACCTTCAGATAAGGGGGAGGGGAGGGGGCAGCCATCCTGACCTTGAGATATGGGGAAGGGTGCCGGTCTCCAAAAAGGGAGGGGGGGGCAGGCCCCTCCCCTGGATCGGCCACTGAAAGTATGGTCTAAATCGCAGGGCTGTCAAGCAGTACCCAGTGGTCCCCTCGTTTTCTTTTTGGTGTTGTTTTTTGTCTTCATTCAAACCATATTGTGGGTTCCTCCAATTTTTAGTTGCTTCGAGTGCAGCCTTGAAGCTCATGACGAAAAGCATACTTAAGAGGATCTTAACAATTACATAGCAAAGCATAAGTAATTGAAAATTGAAATAACTGCTTGTTCAAAGTAATGATTTTATAGTGTTAGACCATCACTTTTTTGTTATGATCTAAACTTAGAAACAAGTAATTATAAAGAGATTTTATGCCTTTTCTTGGTCATGTAATACTGCATAGAATTTTTTGGTTATTAATAAGGATAGGAACTTTTTTTTTAGTTTTTATAGACAGAGTATGCATGTTTCAAGACTGCAAGGAAGGAAGAATGTTCTGTGAGTTTAGCAAAACACAGCTGCAACAACTACAAGGTGTTTATAACAATTATACATCCACTCTTGGCAGTGGGGAGACCGACAGCACTGAAAAGTTATACGTAATGCCCAAAGTAAAGGAGCTGTTGTCTGTTTTAAAAAAAGAATATGGGAATGCACAAAACAGTGGTGAGTTAGTAAGTTTCGATAATTGTAACAAAATGCTTGCAAATACACTCAAATTTCCTGCAGTTATATATCTTAAAGCTGTCCCAGTAATTAATGTCATCTAAAACTATCCTTCCTTTGGGCTAAAGCAAAGTGTCCTTGACAGTTTTGAATCTGATATGAAGGAAAGGAAATCAAGAACAAATGCAATCAACACTAAACCACCTACGTAGAGAGCGTGCGCCCCCTATTAGATGCCTTGTATGGTCCCACATCTCAGCCCAGCCTGCTGCAAAAAAAGTGTCCCCATTCTGTAATCTTACAGCCTACTCATGAAAAAAGGTTTCACGTAGTAGGATTTCTGAACCTGTGAGCAAGCTCCCTTGGGGATATCTGGGCTCCACAAGGAAGATAAAGCAACTTTTTGACTCAGTGGAATAAAGACACCGCATAGAATTGGGGTGATGCGTTGCGACTGAGATGCTTTTAGACTACGAAGATGAGGTTTGGGGGAGGTTCTTCCCTTCCCCTAAATCCTATCCCCCAAACCAAGAGGAAAAAGTACAGAGGATAAGAAAGCATGCTCACAGACTGCCAAACACGTGGCTGTGTCCTAGCCTTAAGCCTTTCGCCTTTGCTCCTCACGACCATCTTGAGTCTCATCTTGGGTTTCTTGATTTGAAAAGAAAGAGAATGCATCAGTCTGCAGGTTGGACGAGCAATGAAAATCTTCACTAGCGTACTACTGTTTTTTGTTTATAGAGAACAAGCTTTGTGGCATAGTGTTTGTAGAAAGGCGATGCACAGCTCTGGTACTCAGTGAGCAGATAAACATTGCTGCAAAATCAGATCATGAGTTGTCCTTCATCGAAAGCAGCTTTGTGATTGGCCATGGCACAGGTGGAAAGGCTAATTACTCCAATGAAGCAGAGATGAACTTCAAGAAGCAAGAAGAGGTATTGCGACAGTTCAGGCTACATGAATTCAACCTTTTGATTGCAACTTCTGTTGTTGAAGAAGGGTTGGATATCCCAAAGTGCAACTTGGTATGCCGGTTTGACTTTCCAATGACACTCCGTTCCTATGTGCAATCAAAGGGCCGAGCACGTGCCAAGGATTCCAACTATATAATCCTTGTAGATGAGGAAGAGTACGAGGAAAAGCAAGGCGAATTGGAGGTTAGTGATCATTTCTTCACTGTGTGAATAAGAATGTTCTTACGATGTAAGAATACGTTGCACTTCCAACAACGTCTTTAAAGGGTTATTTGTTCTCCTTCTTCGTCCATGGCGGATAATAATTACCAGCAACGAAGAAGTAAGAAGTCATCATTTTCCAACTTCTTTTCTGTTCAGTGAAAGTGAGGTTCACAATGCTGTTTTAAACAGTTTAAAAATTACCATTTCGATCAAGTCACTCTATGCCAGGAGTTTCTTAGCATCCAACTTCGATAATTCCTCTTACGTTACCAACGTTAAAACGCCTTCCACTTGTAACGCACGTGTGATTCAGGAACAGTAGGTAAAGTGTCTTAAATACGCTTTCGACAAAAAAATTGTGATGTTTGCGTCACAATTTGTACAGAGAACTGTGAACGTGTTGGCATGAATGGTGTCTCAGTTGAACACAGCCGTGTTCATGTAGTCACATTATATGTTAGCGAATTTTTACCCCATTCCTAGACTAACAATCAGCTTTGGATAACAGTGTGTTGCTTTTAATCGTCAGATGATGCGTGAAATTGAGAATTGTCTGTCAAAGAAGTGCCATGGCCGCAAAGAGCCAAGTAAAGAGGAGTGTGAAGAAGTGGCTGGCGCGGACAGTTTCTTACCTCCATATGAACCTGAGAACCGTACAGGAGCAATAGTCACCATGGAGAACAGCGTTTCTCTTCTTAGCATGTAATATTACGGAGCTTAAGCAAACACACTTTTGAGCAACGCATATCAACCGGAAGTAGACTTTTTGCATTCTTGGGCCGTGGTTTTGCCCAAATGTTCTAGCCTGCATAAATATAACTGGCAAGATTGTTGTACCCGGGGTACTTTCTTGGCAGCGGAGCCGCCACACGCAGCAAGATTGAAGCCGCAAGGGAAAATTTCTTATGAGTTTTGAATGCCGCCCAAGTTTGTCACTTGGTTGGAACTATTTGATTTAATAGAGCGGTGTAATAGGAAACTGGCAAAAAAAATAAAACATAGTAGAGAATCAAGTCATGGACAAAACAACTACATGTAGCAAGTTATTGAGGATCCAGGCAGAGTGCAGCTACTCAAAACTGAGGAAACTAAAACCTTTATTAAAACCTTTATTTAGAATCCTCCGCCCGTTTTTCTGTGCCAGTTTTCAATGATCAAGCGCTCTTTTGATGTTAAACTCGGATGGATCGTGGAGTTTGCAATGCATGACAAAAGGTGAAAGAAAAGATGCACTTTTGATATAGAGCCAATTTCCTGTCGTAAAACGAGATTAGATTCACATTAAACGGGAAAAAGCCTCACTTCCGGTTGCTGTGCGTGGCTGAAAATCGACTTCGCTTAAACTCCCTATTGGCTTTTTCAGGGCTGCCAACTGTTTATTTTTGTTTTGTTCAGTTGGTCTTGTTTTTGTTCTTAACCTTAAGGATCGTAAACGAACTTGCTCTTTGGTCACTTGGTTCCCGGGCCCACTGCCTGCGGGTACTGGCTCAAAATGGCATTGTGTTTACACCTTCGGCTCCTGATATATAACTGTGTACACATTTGCCCCATTTTTCACTGTCATAAGTTTTTTGACACGTAAGTGAAGCAGAAACTTATGGAAAAGCAAAGCAGTGGATTCCCTCGAAATGAACAGAAAACGTGTGCACATGGGGAACCTGTGCCACTTTTAATTTCCCCACTGAAGGACAAGGTCTGGTGCCCGGGCACTAAGTTTGAACATGGTCGTAGTAAATATGCACAACAGAGGAGATCCCCCCGCTTCCCCCAACAAACACACCCCTTTAGATGCCTGCCCAGCTGGCTTTATGCTGCTTTAGACGTTCGCGCCTTCCATGAACTGGTATTATTAAGACCGAGTAGACTAGACTGCATAAATGCTCTGTTTTTAAACTAAGTATTAAACATTCTCTGACCTGGACTGTTTCTCTATCTTACTATACTTCAGGTACTGTTCCATGTTGCCGAGTGACAGATTCACACACCTCAGCCCAGTTTACAAGATAGAGGAAGTTGAGGAAGACGGAAAAATGTATTTAAGTGTGAACTAGAACTGCCAAATAACTGCCAGCTGCGAGGAACTATACGTGTGAGTGCAAATAAAATCACTGCTCTGACTCTAGTGTAGTAATCTTTAAGCTTTAGGCCTCCCAAACTCGTCAAAATATGTCAAAAGTGGCATATTCGCTGAAGCGTCTTCACTAAACGTATGTACTCCAAAAGCGTTCAATGATTCAGAACGATCGTAGTTGCATTTCGACAGTACACAGTCAATTCATCCTTTCTTGAGATTCATAAATTAATACACTTGACAAGTTTTCTTCTATTCCAACAGGGCAAGGCGATGCCACGAAAAAACCTTGCAAAAATGGCCGCTGCTCTCGACGCCTGCATAGAGCTTCACAAGATTGGCGAACTTGATGATAATCTCTTGCCCGTCCGCAACTTATCAGATGATGAAAGTGAATCGGAAGAAGAGGACGATGAGTCTCCTGGAAAGAAACGAAAGAAGGCAGGAACAAAGAAACGAAAGCAAACTTATGAAAGGAAGGTAAGGATAATCCAGGGTAAACTCCTCCGCTAACCCCAAATAACACGGTTGTGATGCGGAAATTTTTTTCAGCGCATAATATACGGAACTGTGTAACCTGCCCACAACATTTGCTAATAAGGAGTTAACGCAACCACGATGCATTCGCGTTCTTGAAAGTTTTATGGCGATTAATTTATGTCGTTCAATTTGTCAAATGCATGCAAATTTTCCAGGAGTAAAATCCTTTGGAGTTCATTTAGGTTTAAACAGAGAAAGAAAATGTTATCGTCGTTTGCCAGGTCCTCTGTTAACTTACTGGGAAATTTCGCGTCGTATTCGTGCAGTGACAGCATAGAAAATGTGATGCTCGTACTGAGTTGTTCTTTTGCTTCTTAAACATATTGCTTTTCTCCCAATCCTAATATCGTCGCCGTCGTGGTTGCTCAAACTCCATTTTGAAGCACCTACAGAAACACATAGCACTTATCCGCAGGGGTTTGGGATTTAAATCTTGGTCGGACCAAACTCTGGGTTATAAACGGTTAGAATTTAAAGTTACTGGGCTGAGCACTTAGAACGGACAGTCCCTTTTCAGCTTCAAAACTGGCTGCGTAGCAAGCACTTCGCTCGAGTTATTGCGCGAAAGTTGGTACTAGAGCAAAAAGGGAGGGAAGGGGAGAAAAGGGAATTGTTAGGTTTGAGTCGCAAGCGTTTTCTTTTCCCCCCTTCCCCTCCCCCACCTTCCATTTTTTTTTACCCCCGTTCCAACTTTCGGGCAACTAAGCTCGAGCGGAAACGCTTTCCTTTCAGGCATGTGAGATGGAGGAGAAAAGATCAACATTGAAGAGCTGATGGTGGTCGTCGCCTTTTTAAGGGAACGTAGCATGTCTTTCTCGTATGCGCCATGGTACGACTCACTTTCATCATATTTGTACACACTGATTCTTTCTTTTTTTTATTGCTTAACTAGGTCCCTCAGGTATTCAGGGGTAGCTTGCCGCAGGAGAATCTGCCCCACTATCTCACAGCTATCACTATAACCATCACCAAACTCACTAACCAACAGGCCCTTGACGTGAGCCAGCGATACTTTAAAGATGGTTTCTGCCACCTGTTTGGTTTATTGACGAATGTTCCAATTCCAGCGGTTAGTTCTAGTTCAATCAGATGTTAGCTTTGATAGTTGGCTGCTGACGCTTTTGCTCTCGGGTAAAACTTTAATCCTTTACCTCTCAAGAGAGTCTAAAAGCCTGAAAAAATGGCGTCAAATTTCATTTTCGAAACAATTAATGACAGATAAATAGTACAGCGTGAAAGTAATGTCACACAAATTTTTCATTTTGATTTAAGTAGTTACAGCCTAACTCATCAAGAATTCACAGTTTGAAGCTGGCAATGAAATGGTGCAACTGAATTTAATATTACGCGTTACTTCACGTAAACATTACGATCATGAATATACGGGTTAAACTAGAACAACCTTATTGATTGATTGACCGATTGATTGGCGGACTGATTATTGATTCAATTATAATTGATTAATTGGCGTTTTTTATTTAAATCCAAAGGTGAGATCATTCAAACTTTATCCCGACTATGGAGAAGTTACAGTAACAATAAAATGTCACAAGTCACCACTGCGGACAAGGATTGCAAGACAAGACTTGACAACTATTACAAAATTCCACTGTTTGTTGTTCAGCCAAGTTCTTCGCGAGCCCGTGGAATTCAGACCCAGAGGGTCCGACGGCAGTAAAGATGGTTATTTGGTAGTTTTAATGAAACCTAATGGATGTGAAGTGGACTATGATTCTATGCGCCATGCTTTAACAAGGCAAACTTCACTGGAGCGGTCAACCGGTGAATCCAGCAGGATTGAAGTTGACATGGTAGTCTCGCAAAATTACTTGGAGTCTCGACAAAAATTTGCAGTTTTCAGAGTACGCCATGATCTGAGTCCTACGTCACCCTTCCCAGACAAATCTAAAGCCAAAACGTATGAAGGCTACTTCCGAGAGCATTACGGAAAGTCTTTTACAACCATGAAACAGCCTCTCATTGAAGTAAAAGACATTTCTGGAAGGGTCAATTTCCTGGTGTACAGAAAGGTGGCAGCCAAGAGCAAGCGCGACGTTATTGGTCTTTTCCCCGAACTATGTAACGTACTGCCTATTTCTGCTTCCTGTCTCAGTGTGTCTCTGATGCTGCCGTCAATTTTACACCGTGTGAACGCGCTCCTGCTTGTTGGTGATGTCAAGGAAATGGTCACTGGAGTGCCTGACATCACAGATGAATCTAGCCTCCCTTCAATTGGTGCTGGTGATGCTAACGACGAAAAGACTTTAATCCGCAATGACAAGGACAGCTTCTCATCGAAGATGGACGTGGGTCATGAGGATTATAGTGATGACAGTGATGACGATGTTGATGACTTTCCAGAGCTGTTTTCAGATTTAAAATCAATGTTCAGTGGAAAGCGAAGGGCTGCTGTTCATCCGGACTCCGCATTTGTGCTTCAAGCTTTGACCACCACCCACAGCGGAGACGCCTTTAATCTGGAAAGGCTCGAGATGCTTGGAGACGCTTTCCTAAAGCTGGCGGTTTCACTTCACCTCTATTGCACCTACCATGATAAAGATGAAGGGAAACTGACGCAGCGCAAGAAAAGACAGATCAGCAATTTGGCGCTGTTTCAAGCGGCTGAAAGAACCTCTTTAGCAGGGTATCAACAGAGCACGCAACTTGCACGTGATGTATGGTGTCCTACGGGATGTCAGTACGGTAGCGCTGAATCAGATGTTGTGACGTCTAGTTCAGAAGCTACAGAAATGGAAGGTCATGATGACGGTAACGCTGAAGAGCAGGGCTTTGGAAGCAGGCAAGACAAGTACAACACTCAGGTCATATCAGACAAATCTGTTGCTGACAGCATGGAAGCTCTCATTGGAGCGCATTTGATTTGTTGTGGTTACACCGGAGCACTTCGTTTCATGAAGTTCCTGGGTCTTAAGGTCCTTCCTACGGATGATGGCATCAACGCTGACATTGGTAAGCTCGCTGAGAAGAGAAGAGGAGGGTGTTATGCCAGATTTTGGCCTGAGCAGGAAAACAAGCCAGAAGCTCCCCAAAGCCAAGATATGGTGGCACGGATGGTCTCTGGCTTGGAGAATTTTGAGCACTCCATTAAGTACACTTTCAATTCCAAATTGTATCTGGTAGAAGCTTTGACACATGCCTCGTATCACCCTAACCGCGTCACGCCCTGTTATCAAAGATTGGAGTTCCTTGGAGACGCCTTGTTGGATTTCCTGGTAACACAACACCTATATTTCCGTCACGAAGAATTGTCACCCGGTGAGCTGACGGATATTCGCCAGGCTTTGGTGAATAACAACATCTTTGCAACCATTGCTGTGAAATACGAGTATAACAAGTATTTGAAGGAGATGTCTCCGGATTGGTTTAGATCTATCGACAATTTTATTACTAGATTGGAAGACAAGAAAGAAGAGAATACTAATCCGGTAGGTAGGACTTAAAGTCTTTTTGTACCTTTAATGGAGGTTGACATTCTCTTTGCTGCTTTTTTAGTGTTTATGTTTTTTAGCCGCCATAAAAAAAACGTTCAGAGAACACCGGGTACCAGCATGAGGAGCTGTGTTTTGTGTGGTCGTTTGGGTAATCAATACAAGCAACAGCTACCAATCACAGCACATGTTGGCTGCCTAAACAATTGCAGACATCGTAGCAGGGAAAACAGATTGTCAGGTTCCCAAACATTTCTAGACGGGAAAATGTTGTTCTTTCACATGTTACTGGCCCCAGTTTTGCTGGCCAGGAATGAGTTCAAAAATAATTGCGAGACGGTACCATGATCTTTCGTTTGTGATCCGCCCCCTCCCCATGGTAAAAGTTGCTAGCAATACAAGAGCATGTTCAAAAATTGGAGGAACAACTTCCAATGAAGGGGTGGGATGGGGTAAGTGTAGTGTCTCACAGTTGTGTGACTAGCAGCAAAGGTCGAAGTTCCGTCAGAGCGTATCAACACTTGGCTCCGCGAGGTGAGAGGTTTTTCTGCGGGAGCTTCTGCTCTCCCTCCCTTCAAAAACCTTCACCACCAAAGGTCCACTTTATCTCCGTTCTAGATGACTGAATAGGCCATTAGCACGTAGGCGGCATTAAGCTGCGGCCAGGCTATCAGGATCCTTCAGAGTTTTTTCTTGTCCAAGTTACGACTAGGTAAACTAAGTATGGCAAATGAGGTACAGGTGACAAAAGGTAGTGTAGTAGTTAAAGGAGACTGAAACATCTTTATCCGAGATTCCATTGTTCATATTTTTCGGGTTCCTGGTGAATCTTTTGTGTTCATTAAGCAAAGCGAAAAGAGACGCTGGGATTTTCTTTGTATTTCACAGGGGATTGCAGATCCATTTATCATCGTATCTGAACAAGACGAAGAAGGGATCGAAGCTCCCAAGGTTCTGGGTGATATTTTTGAGTCCGTGGCTGGTGCAGTGTTTTTGGACAGCGGTATGGATTTCACCAAGGTCTGGGGAGTGTACTACCGCATGATGCAACCTTACATCGGTACGACATCATTTTTCAAAGTTAGATAATGCCCCCTACTGGTGTACGGGCATGGTCACCCGAGCCCTAAAGGACTAGTCCCCGTTAAGTATTAGCAAAGACGGTACCTCCTTTCTCGGTATTTAAAGACCTTGATGTATATAATCAGATGTTGATGATTTGAGGATTGAACGAACGACCTTCTCCCAAAAAATTGGGGGATGGGCGGTGGGAGGGGGGGAGGGGGGTACAATTTGTGGATTGGCTCCGTTCAGGATGTTTCACTCTAATATGACGGCTATTTGTTAGAGTATTACAGCGGTCGCGCTACCTACCCACAATATGGAGGGCACCATTTTTTAGACAAAGGATAAGTCTTTGTCGTTTTTGAAAATTGTCAGTGTGCGTGCATGTACGTTAATAACAGGGAGCTCTCTTTAAGGGTTGAAACGAATTTAAGCGGTGCCACAAATTTTCTGACGAGCGTCCATCATTTTATAGTGGTTTCTCCCGGGAAGATCCTGCTCTTGAGACCCGCGCCTTACCAACTAAGCTTACAGTGTTGTGGTTTGAAAACTCATTTCTCAAAGTTCCCGTCTCATGATAAATAAAAACTGTTACTGTTAACTTGACCATTTCGATACTTTTGCATGTTACCATGGTCAAACTCATTCAACAGGTTGCAACATGAACTATTACCATTCTCACTATATTAAAGAAATAAGTGTTTGTTCTTTGTCAGACCAATACTCTGAAAGCATACCGATCAATCCCATCAGGCGCGTGTACGAAGAGGACAACCAACTGAAATTTAGGTACGTGAGTGAAAAATATACATATTCCCGTGTAGGATATACGAGGTCCTGAAAAAAGGACTTGTTGCTCTCAACTCACACTGTTCGTTTTGGAGGCTTTTACAGTTTTCTCTCTTTTGCATGAGTTTTTCAAAAGTACATTCAAAAGTGCATTTCCGAGTTTGAGGATGACCTACTCCAAAATGTCAAAGCATCAACCACTGTCACCCAAAGTTACGAAAATATATTTATACGGACGGAAGGTTATAAGTGTGTTCAATCATTAGTGGCCAAAAATAATTAACCAAATGTGTTGAGAAGAAAAGATACTGTAATACTAGAAACAAAGAGAGAGAATCACCTTCACTGAGATATTGATTCCAGATTAGTTTCATCGGCAGCAGACAAAAACGGGTATTTACATAGAGGCAATACCCTGAAAGTTGCTTACAAGTTGGCACTAACAATAACTAGTTTTTCTAGGGCTGCGACCCCAGACAATCTTTAAAGGACTGCCCTCATCACATGGATGGTCGCAGAAGACAAACTACAAACTGTGTAGTTTGTAACAAAAACAATCCTTTAAGGGATGCTGTTTCCTTAATCATTTATCAACTGAGTTGACAAGGAAAATTGACCATTGTAATTCTAGAAACAAAGCGACGGAGAATCAACCACACTTAGCCGACATTGACTGAAGACTAGGTACATCATCAGCAACCTTTTCAACGACTGTTGACCTCAGAGACAGGCGAACTCATTTATATAATTTCTGTTTATATCTTTAGCAAAGCCGAAGTTCTTGCCGATGGAAGAGTCATGTGTACTTTGAAAGTTCGCTGGGGTAAGTTCGTTGGTTATGGCAAAAACTCCAGAATTGCCAAGGCAACCGCTGCGAAGCTGGCAGTGCAGGCGCTGGACAAGAACAAGTTAAGGAAGTAGTTAATCAAGGGAATAAATATCACCGTGGTAACGTTTGCAGACAGAAACCGTTCAAGACAAGAATTTAAAAGTTTACAGTTCAGCCTCAAAGGAAGGCTCGCTGGCTTTTATTAACTATAATAAGCTAGACTAGAAGTTTATCCGGATTTTAAGTTTAAAATTTTGCTGATAGTTTAAATTTACCGGATAGATGAATCAACACAAGTTTATAATGTATATTTTTTCGCTGTATAATTAGATTTCCGTCTCGATATATTTTTCTCTTACCATAAAAGACTTCTAACACGTTTTATCAGTTTGATACAATATTTGCTTATCCTCCCATAAACTGCGAATAGTCAAAAGCTTAAAGGCAACGGAAGCCTTCCAAAGGATATATAAAAAAGATGTGTTTATCTAATTGTACAGCTGCACTCGCTGAAAAACTGACCAAAGTATCAAAATTGTTGGATAGCGTTGAATTCCCTTTACAGTAATTACGTCCAAAATGTCCAAAAATGCACAATATTTTACCCCACTGCTCAGGAAACTTGAAATCATAATTTGTCTAATGTAGCGATGATGACACAATTAGCAATGCTGTCAGGGGGTTGATTTTCAAGGTGAATCCAAAACTTGAAAATGTTCATTGTTATTTGTAAATTGAGAGATACCATTTGATACCAGAGTGAATATGTACAATGCACTGGTAATGTTATATTTTAATTACTGTAGTGCTGTATGGGGCGATATCAATATAAAGAAATTAGCAGACAAACTTCAAAAGATGCAGAATAGGGCTGCTCGAATTCTCACCTTTTCCAGCTATGATGTTCGCTCAAGTGTTTTGTTGGATGATGAGCTTGGTTCGGAAAGGTTGGAAAATGTGATACTTAAACAGTTGGCTGTGATAATGTATAAAATCCATAATGATCTTTCCTCATCGTATCTGAGGCGAGTCTTTACCAGCACCTCAAATATACACACACAATCTTCGAAATTCCGAGTTAAATTATTATGTTTCCAGACCCAGAACTGAGTCTGCAAAAGGGAGCCTACACTACAGAGGATCTCTTCTGTGGAACAGGATTCCCTCAGAGATTAGAAAATTGCCTATCTTAAATGTTTTTAAAACTTCATTTCATGGGAAAAATTATTTTACTAGTAATAATACAGTTTTTTGTATTTTTTTAACTTTATAGTCAAGTAGTTCCTTAGAGTATTTTAGTTTAATTTTACACACGATTCCTAGGAAGACCATGTAGAAGTGATACGATTTCGTGTATAAATAAAGCTTGATGATGATGATGACGATGAATTTCGGTTCTAACTTTATCCAACTAAAATTTCATTCACGTTGCATGATCATGCAACGCTGACCAGAACTTACAGACACTGAATAAATCAAAATATACCAAACTGGGAAATATTAGACTGCATGGGCAGTAGCCCACGCTAGATATATCAAAATTCTAACGTGACTCCGAGGCCTTCTGGTCATTTTTATGCTTTGTTTCTCCAGGGAATTGCGAGACGATGGAGTGGTGAAAAATTTGTAGTTTTGAGCCTTGAAGGTGATGTTACACGAGACGATTCGCAACGACGATTTTTAGCTCAACAAAGCGT